TATAGTGCTCTGTGAACACAAATTAGTTAGCATAAATCAGTTAAATGACAAAAAATTAGGTGTCTATTTACTTGTGACCACTTAGTGTATACTGTAACTTTTTCCTTGTCTGGTCTACAAGTGATTTTGTGATTCTAAACACTGCTAGTGATAAACGTGCATAACAAGGAAAGTAAAACCAGAACTTAAACCAGTTGTCTTTCTAATATGGACAAAAATATAAGTGTTACTGTGTATTTTATAATCACATGTTGGTTTGATGACTTGGTTTAGATATTGATTTTTCATTAATGTTTATAATGCAAATGCTGAGTGAGACATATAAAATTCTTTAATTAATGTTTTTAAGATAAAGAGACTTACTTATGCTTTTGATTATGTAAATTTTTCCTAATAACACCTGCAATTTGTATAATTTTTAATAATATATTTACAGACAAACAATCCAGAGATGATGATAATGTGTCCATGACAAGCTTTGGTTCTAATGCTGTAAGTATCATGTTCAGGGAAGTACATCGTGGATTAATATTGTGAGTTGGAAGAATATGAGAAGTGAAGAATAAAACTGTAATAGTTTTTATTTCTAATAAAATTATATTCAGTTGTTTATGTAATTAAACCAAAGCAACTGAAGATTTTTAAAAATTTTATGTGAGTGAAATCCATTTAGAAAACATTTGATTAAAATTTGGAGCCAATTTTTATTTGCATTTTGTTTACTTTTGCTTTTGAGTTTTCAACTTACAACATCAGTTTTGATGTTAGGACAAAATATTTATTTTATTTTGTATGATTATAACAAACATAAGCACGTAATGATCACTGTAATATTTTTTTACCTGTTGTATAATATAACTTAGTTAAGTGTGTAAATAATAATGCTTACTTCTGTTATTTAGCAGTCAGGGCGAATTCTAAGAATTTATAGAACTTTCAAGTCACCTGAAGGAAAGGAATATATTCGTTGTGAAACAGTTAGGAAACCTGCTGTAATAGATACATATGTTCGCATACGCACAACAAAGGACCCTAACTTTATGTAAGAAATTCTTATGTTTCTATGCTGAATAGATAAGATGAAAATGAGATGTGTAACCCTTAACCAAAGAAACATATTTTGCTAAAACTTATTTTTCATATCTTGTAATAAAAGTATGTTATTGCAAGCTTTTAAATAAAATAATATATGTATATTTTTTAAATTTTAATTCTTCTAAAAAACTGTGTTTGGCATCTGTGTTGACCCCATAACTTTAGTAGTTAAGGGTTGGTAAAGGAGTGGGCAAGGTTTTGTAGTTAGTATTCAAGATGTATCTGTGTTGACCCCATAACCTTAATAGTTAAGGGTTGGTAAAGGAGTGAGCAAGGTTTTGTAGTTAGTATTCAAGATGTATCTGTGTTGACCCCATAACCTTAGTAGTTAAGGGTTGGTAAAGGAGTGGGCAAGGTTTTGTAGTTAGTATTCAAGATGTATCCAAGTGTGTAAGATATATATATTTGTAATTTATTTAAGTTTTTGAGATGTAAAAAGTTGTTTTTATATATAAGTGACCAAACTATAAGTTTGTGGGTTAATATGAAATGCATATGCAAAATACAACATTATTCTCTATTAAAACAACATTTTGTCTTACAAGAAAAAAAAGATTATATCTTTTGATAGAATCATTGTTTTGAACATGGTTGCAAAACACTCAGTCTTTGAATAGAAGTTGTATGCAGTTAAGTAATGTGTGAATTGTTATTGTATGCAGCTAAGTAATGTGTGAATTGCTACTATATGCAACTAAGTAATGTGTGAACTGCTATTGTATGCAACTATGCTATGGGGGTGTACATTTAATTTTCTATACAACATTATATTGAAAGTGGAGTAGCAGTTCTTACAACAACGTGTAATACCAGACAGATGGACAACTCTGCTATGCAGTTTTGTTCTGTACTTTGACGCTCACAATTTGTGCAGTTTAAAAATTAAGAAATATGTAAAACACTTGAAAATTTTAAATTTGAATCTCTGATATAGTAGTTAATAAGTCCTATTGTGAGGTAGGACAATGTATCAGGCTTTATTTCTTAATTATGCTATTTTACATATAAGTTTGATGTTTTGAATACATATTACATGTGTGAGAGTTTTTTGTTTATTAACTACAGATCATGTTATTATGGATACACATGTTCCTCAAGTTTTTAATTTTTGTCTTTTTAAATTCTTGTTTATGTGTATAGTATAATGATCACAACTATGTAATCATACAGTACTTTTATTCCATGGATTTTTTTGTCAGAAGTCAAAATGCAAATGAGCCGACAATTAAGTGTACATGTGCATATCAAAAGTTAAGCTGCTGATAGTTGAAGTTCTTCACCGTGTTTCAAATGGTCTTCAGTATTAGAAGAACATTGTTTTTTAGATCCTTTTTATTAATGTTTTCATTCTTTGAACTGTAGTAAGCAGTTTGCCTCAACATTAGATGAACATCAGAAAGAAGAAATAAGAAAAGAAAGACGAAGGTAAGTCAGATTATGCATCTATGTGTATTAGGATAATGTTCATGAATGAGAACAATAGCATGAATTTTCTGTCTTAAGAGTGTTGTAATTTTCATCATTCCAAAAATGAACTGTTACAGACTATTGTTAGATGTTTAATTTGAATGTGTTATATATATAACAACAAATAAAAATTATAAAAGTAATATTTAAATCAGTTTTGTGGGTCAGATCTTTATGTATTAGGTCATCAAGAAATTAATGTTGTATTTTGGAACACTTTCATTAACCATCCCCCAAAAAATGTACATCACGTATAATAGTTAAACGAACTGCCTAAACATCACGTCAGTGTAGCCTATATAACGTGTAAAGTTTAGTATACTCTAATCCCTTATAGTGATGGCATATAATGAGATACAGTCGGCATATAATGCTGTTTGAATACAAGA